GACAACACTCCCTGTAAAGCAAGGCGATACATTCTAGCATAGAATCCGGCACTTGCTGCATTCATCGCGAGGACCTCGTTAGTGCCTAGCCACTGCGCAAACGAAGCGACGTAGGATTCGCAGTTGACCTGGCCCGCAAGGTAAACGCTGGTTGGGTCCCTGAAGGTCGGTGTAAGGATTGTTGGATACTGATATCCCCCGAGCGGGGATTCCAGGACGGACCCATTCACCACGTTTGCTAGTGCCGGAATCTCGGTGTTGTTTGATGAACCAGACGTAGGAGGAAAGAATCCTTGCATGAATGCCTGAGCTGAAGCAGCCATGGGATGGTCCGGCCTAGAGAGAATAAAGAACTCATCCGACACCATCGAGAAGAGCGAAATGTTGCCTAGTATCGTCCCGGGTGGATACCGAAGTCGGACGGCTGAGCCTACCTCTACCAGTTGTCGAGCCCCTAGTGTGGTCAATGTTGGAGTGTACGGCAGCACACGGGGAGTCGAATCACCATAGGTTGTGAAGACGAAAGCCGCCCATACTTTCTCCACGGCGGCAACTTGAGCTGAGCAAAGAGGAAAGATGTAGAGGGAGAGTGCGGTGTAAAGTGAAAGGAGGTGCATGTTGAGTGCAAAGCCGTCTCCAACAAGTCGACGTATTGTCTTATCTGTGCGAATAGTTATGGCGTATGTGAATCTATAAAGGAAAAGGTGAAGATTATAATACTATTGCCACGTATCTTGGTTTAGTATTAAAAATCATAACGCAGTGCAAATGGTATGTGCACTAGACGGGCAGGTGGCTTATATCGCAGGCCATCATACTCTGGAAGAGGTCATATACAACTTTAAACATTCTGTCCTTATTATTATGACGAGCTCACCTATTAGGGGTGGGGTTGCTGATTCTATAATTGCAGCAAAATCCACCCTTGTTCCTTGGATGAAAGAGGCTTTATCGTCCAAAGTTTCTGGGGAAAGGTTCCAAGGCTTAGAACTGAAGGTTTATTCAGCCTACTTTTAGTTTCTGTTGTCTCGAGAGTTAGTTATCGTTGAGCCTGAAGCCGATCACATTGTATTTGGTTCTGTTTATTCTCCGTATGCCAGTATATTAGCGACGGAGTAGAGTACAGATCGAGGGTCGGGGGTATTCGAATTAGTTATTTTTGAGGACTGGAAATTGAGACCACAACACACACGCGCGGGCTCCATAGGAAAGCCATTGCTGGCGCGGTGGTGGCAAACGGTCACTAACGAGGAGATAATCCGTGGTTGTCGTACGGAGTAATTTGTCCATGATGTGATGAAGTTCCAAGGTTGGTCCAAATCCTGCTAGGGCACCGTGACAAAAGCCCTAAATTACCCAAAACAGATGCACTATTCCTATTTTGGGCTAATCCTTGCTGATATAACCAAGCCATTTTCTTTGCTAGATTGCGAGGGCAATCTGATCTCCAGCTTCAATTGTGACAATGTTGATATTTTCCTTTGCCAACATCATTTAAAAAGGTATCGATGCTTTGCAGCATGCAGTTTATTGAAGGTTTGGCAGTGCTGTGATGCCTCTCTGAAGCTGGTTTGGTTGCCTGCCGGTCCTCTGTCCAAAAAAATTCCAGTCACAAGCGCCCCCAAGCCCTACTTTTGCGCCCTATCCCTAAACCCTCATTTCTTCTCCTGGAAGTCTTCCTAGGCCGATCGTGCATATACGCCGTGCCCACCATGGTCAACACTCGAGCTTCAGACAACCCAACGTACGCAAACCAGGAGAACGCCCAACAACAATTCTCTGTCCGTACGACAATAGACAACAATGGTCGGGGCTTCCAATTCGATCCCTGTATTCTCAGACTGTCAACTCTCTATTTTATCTTTGTCATGTAGCGTTAGCTCGCTGTTCATCGATTTGAGGTATTGTGACTGAAAAGTTGTGTTCTAACCACTCTTCTTCACTCTTATAGGATCGTCAAAGGTGGCCCATGAACTTGAAGAGCATGATGGATCCAACAACACCTCTCCCCATGTTGCGAAGAAACGACGGACTGGGTCTGTCAGCGAGGTGGTTCCTGAATCATCCAACGTGACAGAGCAGCCGTTGCCAGACAAAGATTTGAAACAGGACGCCCAAAATGCTACAGAGCAGTCATCAATAATTTGCACGTCTCCTGCCGCCAAAGTTGAACCCAACGGAAGCCCTGATGGTAACCTTGAGAAAAAGAGCGCAAACGGATCTCCAACGGCGGTTCAGGCAGCTGCTGCATCTACATCTGCACCGGATCAACTGGGACCGGACGTTGCGGAGGTGATTTTAAATATTATGAGTTATTCAGAGAGGGTGGAGGAACAGTATAATCTCAGCCAGCAGCTGAAAAGCTCTGGCGGAGGGTCGCAGCCCTTAGTGTTCATCAAGGCGAACTCGCAGCTGATGACCAAGAGCTTGCCGATACTAGATAATTTGGTATATGGCTACTGATTGCTGGTGAGGTTGAATTTCTCAAATGCTAACTGAACTTGCAGTCATCCCAAATTCTTACTTTGCTTGCCCAATCGTCTTACCAAGACCTGACCTCCATTGTATCCGAACCCAACTCCGAGTGCGGACAAGCTTACTCAACGATGCGATCCCTATTCGACCATACGAAAAACGTATATTCGTCTAAAGGATCTTTTCTTTCACCACGCGAGCTTGATCTCACTGAACCGAGCCAGATGGATATAATCAGAAAGGCTAATATGGCATCATTTGTATCAAGCATTTTCGGTAGCCAGGAGATTGGGTTTTCTGAGCTTGACCAACACTTCTTGGAAATATTTGTACCCGAGGGAAGTCGATTACTGAAGGTACAAGGTGCACTCTTCTTAGAACTCAAAACCCAGGCGTACATCGCAGCAATGAATTCTGGAAAACGTTCACGAACAGAAATTCTGTACGAATTGTTTCCCGATGATCTTGAAGAACGGTTGCTTTCCAGAAGACCCGGTACAAAGCAACTTGCGCCAAGTGAGACGGACTTCGTGAAACGTGTTTTCTCGCGACGCGACATCCTTCTCAACGAAGTAAACAATCCCGAAGCCGCTTCCGCACTGCCACAAAAGTATCGCTGGGAGGATTTCTTAAAGGATTTAAGTTCATATGTGAGCAAGAATTTTGAGGCTATTAGCCATCAACAGGTTTGTCTTCATATAATTTTTATCTGCTCTTATGTTTGTGAGCTGACCTGTTTTTGTTCTCCAGACCAAAAAATCGAGTAAGGGACGGCCGTCAACAAATGGAGAGGCAAAAGAAGTTCGGAGCGCCTCTCTCGAAGGTCAATTTTCTGTTGCCGCCCACCCACCTGAAGTATCCCAAGTTTCCCGTAGTGCAGCACATAGTGACCTCGTAGCAAGAGCCGCCCGTGCTGCTCAAATCGCTCTCCAAGGTCAGGGTAGAGGGACACGAAACGCTTCTAAGGCTGCTCAGCAAGGTCGACAAATTCAACCACCACCAGCAACTCAGGCTGTAGCCCAACTGCCACCTCAACAGCAGTCGCAGCCGCAGCCGCAGCCGCAGCTTCAACAACAGCCACAGTATCCATCACCCCAGACACCACAGCAGCAACAGGTACCCCATCCTCAACACGCGCCAGCTCCTCCTGCGTATAGGCTTCCTCAGAGTCCCCGCTGTCCAGCTTCTCAACATTTGTTGCATCAGGCCGCTATGACAACAACATTCCCTGCGCACCCGACACATCCGGCACCGGCACCACCAGCACAAGCAGCCCAAATCACATTCCATCAAGCCCCGCTAAATTTTCAACAATATAATCCAGCCACTGCACATGCTTCAGTCACAGCAAGGGCACATGCCGCTGCTGCCAACTACGGCTACATGCCAGGAGTCCCACACTATTCTCAATCCCAGCCGACGCAAATCCTTTATGAACGAGCCAGGATGGCAACTACAGCGAAGTCCTCGCCCGCGAACCGTCGTGCAGGACTTCCGAGCCAACGTCGTCCCTGGACAACGGAGGAAGAAAATGCACTAATGGCGGGTCTGGACAGGGTCAAGGGACCTCACTGGAGCCAAATATTAGCCATGTTTGGACCTGGTGGCACAATTAACGAAACCCTCAAGGATCGCAACCAGGTGCAACTGAAAGATAAAGCACGGAACCTCAAATTGTTCTTCCTCAAGAGCGGCATTGAAGTTCCCTACTACCTGAAATTTGTCACTGGTGAACTAAAAACGCGTGCTCCTGCACAAGCTGCCAAGCATGAAGCGCGAGAGCGGCAACGAAGACTTGGCGATGAAGATAAAGCCCATGTAGAGGGCATCGAAGGGATGATGGCGCTTGCTGGCGCTCACTCGGGATCAAATATGTCTCCGGAGTCTGCTCACAGTAGCATGGTTGGTTCTCCTGGGCTGATGCCGCAGCAGCAACAACAGCAGCAGCAGCAGCAGCAACACCCTGATATTCAGCATGCGCAGGAGCGAAGTGTGGAGCAGGCCATAATCCAAAGCTTAGAACAGGAGGTGAGACAGGATGGGATGCATCTCGAGCAACAACCGAAGAATATGCAGCACACCATGCCGCAGGGCATGATTGATCCGTCCCTTCAATCCCAGCAATGAAGAGCGAAACCACCGTTTCTTCTAATGCACATGGACAATGCAACATTGAATTTCATTGATTTATCAGATTCTTTTCTTACACTGGGCGGGATGCTCCTATTTGTGTTGGCATGGCTGGCGGATTGAATTCATTATGCTTTTATATTCGCCCTTGGTGGGTCCCATATGATCAAATACCAAGGATTGTCAATCGGCGTTTTTTTCTTGGAATGGGGGGAAGGGGTCCGGCATGTGTTTTCCTGGCATGATAGGTGTTTTTGTAAACAGATGATGTGTTTAATATTTTATTGTTTGCGCGCTGTATGTTAGGAACACCGAAAGAAAACACGAAGAATTCGTCTGAAGTGAGAACCGGAAATCAAATATTATTTCTTCTCCTGGGAATTCCATATCATCTTTTCATATAATTCCTACAGAGTTGCAGTTGTAATGGTACGACTTTTTCCTGTTTAGCATTGAAGCTAAAGAAAAGCTCAAGCTGTGGAACCTCAACTCCAACCCCGTCAGCCACAGCATCTGCACCTCACCATTCACCCAACCCAATTCAATCACCCTGGAGCCAACCAACGACAGATCGATCCGTGCTACGAGAAACATATATAAAGAGCGTCGCAGCCAGTCATGGCCGATCCCCAGCCGCCGTCAGACTTACAAGCACAAACAGCAGCATCGGCACCTCCAACAGCCGCATCTGCTACTTCCGCTCCCACTACAGAAAAACCTGAGCTCTCAAACCCTCCAGACCCAGATACAGTCCGTCGACCTCCGGCCATCCCCACAGACAATGCTGCCAATAGCAACACAAATACCGAAATGAACAACAGTAATAACACTACTGCTAATCCTAATAACACCTCGACGACAACTCGGCCAGATGTCACGATGAGCGGTACCAGCGAAGCTACGACGGTATCTACTATGGCTACCAGCCATCAATCGATGCCAACTTCTGCAACGACAATGACAACAATGACAACGATGACGGCACCAGCTGCGGCTGCGGCCGCGACCACCGGCCCTAGCACAAGCACCACTGCGCCAACAGGAATAATTGCACCAGGAATCCCAATAGATGCTGGAGTAAATCCTGTCGCGGCTGCGCCAGTGTTGCCGCCGTCAAAGAAGGATACGAGCCTACGCGAATTTTTGGGACAGATGGATGAATATGCACCTATTGTGAGATTCATATTCGCCCCCCGTTTTTTTTTTTTTTTTTTTTTTTTCAATTTCCTTCTTATTTTCTCCTTCTTCAGTGCCCAGTTGCGCTGTTAAAGATTAATATTCCCTCGACTTCAAATCTACCTTGTTGGTTGCGCCGCAGGGCCATTAGCATATCGTTCCTGCGATAATATATTCTCCTCTAGCTAACAACATCATAGATCCCCGATGCCGTAACAGCACACTATCTAACCCTCGCCGGCCTCCCGCCCCCAGGAAATGGCCCAAACCATACTCCTCCGCACCTCGCCCGCCTCCTCGCCCTCGCCACACAGAAGTTCGTCGCCGATATCGCCGCGGACGCCTACCAATACTCCCGCATCCGCAGCTCGAACACTTCCTCGAATAACCCCATGGGCGCCATAAATCTCTCCACGGGATTGGCGCACGGGCTAGCTGCTGCTGGAGGTACTGCAGGGGGTACTACGGGAGTAGGCGCAAGTGGGGGAACGGCTACAGCCGGTGGTAGCGGGGGAGGCGGAGGGGAAGGGGCAAAGGGGAAGGGAAGTGGTTCAACTGGTTTGCTTTTGGGTGTTCAGAGGCCTGGGTTTGGAGGTGGGGGACAGGGCGGACAGCAGGGGCGGACGGTGTTGACGATGGAGGATCTAGGTATGGCGGTTGCCGAGTATGGGGTGAGCGTGAAGAGGGGGGAGTTTTATCGGTAAGGGTTAGACGGGTAAGTACCTTCATGAAGGAGGCCTTACTTATATGGCGTTTCTTAGTTGTTGGTTGGGGATTGCGATGGGAGGTTTTATTACCTCGTTCCGCCTTTTTTTCTTTTTTTCTTTTTTCTTTCTTTTTAAACCAGGGCCAGGAATCTGGGGTGGAGTTTCGGATGTCGTTCCGGATGGGAAGGAAAAGGTGTTTTCCCGACTTATTAAGCTCATATATTATCATGTTATATCATGTCATGTCATATCATGTCATATCATATATTATGTACATTTCAGATTGATTATAAAGACTAAATGAAGGGTGGTGGCCTTTCCGTTTTTCTTCTGGAAATTAGATGCAGGATAGTTGTCTATTAAGAATCAACATCATGGACGCCTTTTATTCCCGTAGATGTACAGAGCAGGGTAACAAGCAAGATTTATTGAAATTCTAATACAGAAAATTATATATATACATGTACATCATAGCATAAAAATGTAATATACAGATTTCTCCCCAAATGAGTATTTAAATCCGAGACGCCCCGCTCTAATCGTTCAGGAGATAGGAAATCCCAACTGGGCAGCAACCTTAAAGAGTCCGCCCTCTCACCGCTTACAAACAGACCTCCTCGCATAGTCAGCTCCGATGATGAGGCATCCAGGTTTCTCTCGAAAGATCAGGGTTCGATATCGATATGTCATCCCTTCTCCCACCCAACATTTCACCTCGCCATCTCCATGACGAATAGAGAATTTGATGGGCATGCAGCAACAGCATCCGAGAGCATGACGGCTGCTGATAGCGTGTATCTCCTCCTCGAGCAAAGTTGCGAAACAATCATCCTGCTCCCAAGAACACAAAAAGGCCCACACGAACCTAATAAATTCCAAAACGCAGCGATTCAGCTGCCTTTCCACACACCATTCTTCCCCCCAAGCAAACCCCCTTCGAATCTAAACTATATTATATTCTCTTAATTCTTCGAATGCTGGTATTTGAACCGCTTCCGCGTCCTAAACGAATGCATATTAAGTTCCCTGCAATTGGTTTATAGGAAATAACGGTGCATAGTCATAAGAAAGGGAAGAGGAAGACAATGAAAGGGGGAAAACATATACTAGTCTCAAAAAAAGAAAGATATACTTACTGCGAAAATTCCCCCAACTTTCTCCCCACCATCTCATCCGTAATAAAAACCTCATTGTATGTCTTGCCATTGTGCACCGCAAACTTCAATCCGACGAAATTGGGCAGGATCGTCGCGGAGCGTGCCTGAGTTTTGATCGCGGGTGTACCGGGGGGTGGAGGCATGGTTTTTGGGAGCGGGAGACTATTGTTTGCGCATATTTAGCATTCAGAGCTTTGGGGGACATGATCAATTGCATTCAGGATACAGAATATATAGAGGATATAAGAAAATGAGGGAATTCCATGTTCTTTCTGTTCTTTTAATCGCATGCTGAAGGGGAAGGAAGGGGATTGTGGGAACAGGGGACTGGAGAAACGCACGGGACAATGTTCGGACCTGCATATAGGAGTGTTGGTTAGAGCAGTGCGATTAATGAGGTTATATTAAAGGAGTAGGAGCTCACCCTTCCACACTGATCGCTTGAACAATGCGCGTGTAGGGAACATCTTAGATCAGTCTCGTCCTGTCTTGCCCTCTTCTGGTGTGCAGCTAGCTGCTAACTTTGCTTGACGTTCAACCTTCACTGGAATTTATGCGGAATCGGAAATATTTTTATCCGGATAGGCCCTGACAATAGTAGAAACTTCAATGGTACAAGTGGATTGAAAGCACTGGAGCGTGTCCTAGTCTGAACCCCAGTGTGCAAGCGAAGTCTCTCTATGCACTGTTTTGAGAGGAAATCACTCTGTTGGCTTCGATACGGAGTTAGGCGTTACTCGTAAACATCAGCTGCTGGAGCGAGTGATGGGAAGGACACCTTATGCCCATTCCACCACATAATACGAGTATCTCCCCCTACAGATGGCAGGCATACTCGCTCCAGACTTAAGATTGTCGATTTGAACAACCGGTGTTTCGATCACAAGCTTTAACTGAACTCCATCCGCCTTCTTCACGACAAATTCCTTCCATTGGTGCTGTTGTGTAGGGATCAGCAGCATACTATGACTGACTTCTCAAATATTCCAGCTCCTGGGCCATTAGTCTACACAGCCAGCATGCCCAGATTGCTCGTTTCCAGGGTTTCCCCATGCGTTCCGCAGAATCAGTTGAGCAAGATCAAGATTGCCGCCATCATCTCAGCGCCTTACGGGGACTAACTCCAGATCCATAAGAATATAATCATACCAGGCATGATGTTGCCTCACATAATAATTGAGCTGTGACAGAATTTGGCAAAATTCTTAATGGCCTGCTGGCAGTGAGCTGTTGCGCAAATTGCTAGTCCGTTTCCATGATGGCTTCAGCTCACCAGGTGCGCGATTCCAACTCATGATAGCAGACATCATCTCATCAAAGAATGCTGCATCAGGCTCGTAGTTGTCAAGATCCTGGGGTCTTCACACTGACGATATATATCGACGATATCTGCGATGATATCTAGTGATGATATCTGTGATCATCTTGTTTAATAGCAACATAATGAATAATATCACTTCGCAATTTCGCTCCGTCCTGCTCCTGCTATAGAGTGTTGTGCCTGAGCTTTCCAACCCTTTGAAGAAATTAAAGATGTCTTCATCTCTGGTATTTAGAGGTTCATTTGCCCGCTCCCTGAAGGGGGGTGATAGGGGCAGGCTGCCCCTAGTAATTTATTATAACTATCACTTTAACATGATTAGTTATAACTAGATATCTAATTTTATAGCTGTTAATAGTAAGTCATTATTAAAACATTATTATTTTCTAATATTCTTCTAATAATTTATGTTATGATTACTAATATTATTGATTTTTTATAAGTTTTCATCGAAAAATATTCGAATGCTATTCGAATTGTAAAAGGCTTTGCTAAGCTTCTGCAAGCTCATCCATGATGCTGACCAAATTTCGAATGCCGAGTACTGCGTTTTCATCGGGGCCCTGCCCAGGAGTCCATTGTGCATGCGCAAAATCGATTAAGCGGATATCATGGACCTTATGTGGTATTTCGTCCTCGTCTTCGTCTTCATCCTCGCCGCCTTCGATGTCGAAATCAATATCCCCAAGGTTGTTAGGGCTGATATCGAGTTTAATTCCGCTTTGAGTGATCGATTCTCCATCCACCTTCACATCGACGATCTGCAAGGTTGAGGACCCTTCAGGCAACTCTACATCGTATTCCGATTCCGATTCCGATTCCGATTCCGATTCCAGTCGGTCGTCGGCTTTGCTATCATTATTTCCTTGGGCTTTGGTATCGGCTTCTTTGACGAGAGCTTCCTCTAACGCTTCTGGATCCCCTTCGTAGACAATCAAAACGCTGGCGGAGTACATTCTGCTTTCCTCCACCTCAAGAACTGCCTGCATCGCGCGTAAGCTTTCTGCTATTCTATTGGCAATTAATATCGACCGATCGACTTTACCCGCCTTGGCGCCAGCGAGGAATGTCTTGAAGCCTTCCTTGACATTGTCCGCGTTGAATGAGCGGCCATACCATTTGTCATATCGTCTGTATCCATCAACGGTCTCGACCACGATTTGTTTCGATATAATGATGTCGTGAGATTTTGTTTGCGTAGTTCCGAGCACTTTTTCTTCCTTCTCCGCATTCTCGCCAACCCATATCTTCATGCCGGCGATGCGGAATCCTAACACAGCACTCGTAGTTTCCAGTGACACCTGATCCAATTTAGCTCTCTTTGCAGGTGTAGCATCATCCGCCCAGAGTCTGGCGCCAAGTTTTACATCCAAGACGCTTGGACGCTTAAAACCTGCTGCCACGTTCTCAAGGACTATCGATACACTGCTGTTGATCTTCTTTCCCTGGGAAGGAAACCATTCTGGCTCTTTATGCGTGGCAACGGGAACCGGTACTGTAACAAGATTAGAGGTTCTACTGAGCTCCGGAGTCACGGGCGTATCGGTACTGGAGGACGAGGACACTAAAGGGTCTACGGCGGCAGTAGCCACGGAGGTCCTGGTTTCGCTTATTGGGATTTCTAGGACATCTGGAGCGGTAGGGCTAGACAGAGTTCCAATGAATCTGGGCATAAATTGCTGGAAACCAGGATGGTGGAGGCTAGACTCGTAGAATTCAATTTCTTGGGGAGTGCAAGGTTTTGCGATCAATGACCCTGAAGGATTGCAGAGCACGCCATCACTGTGAGATACAGGAGATTTGAGTCAGTTCCCGAGTTTTCAATATGTACATAGATGTATATGTGTATATTCACTGATATGTGAGTTTCCCCATTAAATGCATAAAGAACCTAGCCACCGGAGACAAACGGGGAGGAACGCAGTGGATGGAGCGAGAATGCAAATGGAGAAAATCTTACTGTCCAGCAGCGGCGTGACCAAATGCAACGAAGGTACCTTCGTCGAGTTTCCGGGCCTTGCGATTCTCAGGCACGGAGGTGGAGGGCATGATAAGACGCGATAAACCAACCCGATATCACCGGCGTCTCGATGATTATTTAAAAATAAATAGGGCTAGCTTCACAGATGCTTTGGAGGGAAGGAGTGGTAGGGGAATTAGAGTAGAGAAGGGATGTCACAAGAAGGCTGTCAACGCATTTTGGGAGAATCAACAACGAGCAGCAGAAGGCCACAAAAGGAGAGAAGAGTGTTGCAAGTCCGACAAGCAAAGAGAAGAAAAAGGAGCGGAGGAGAACTCGAGGCGGGGGGCATGTAAATAATGAGAGGAGCAACGGTTGCCCACACAGGAAGCGCGGGAAGCGGGTTGGCTTAAATATTTATCATGCGGCTGCAACGCCAACTTCCCACAGCACCAAACATAAATGCTAAACATAAGTTAAATACTATGCTACAACTCGTCCTGCGATTACTCTTCATCACATCGCAAGAAATGGGCTATCCGCGTGGATCGGCATTCTTGAAAGTTTGCAGTTAAACATTGCACAGTTAATAGATGCATTATATGTCATCAGACATGGTCATTTCACTTAACCCCACACAACCTACGCCCGCAACTGTCTGGGTGCTATGACAAGCCAGGCGTGCTTTCACACTTCATGGAATGTGAACGCCATGGTATAAAAATAATTAAATACCCTGGGGAGTGCCACACCATTAGCTAATGGAGCTTTTTACATTCCCTCGTTCGGCCTTTGCTCTCAACCCGCCCCCCTTTTTACACCAAAAAAGTAGCGCAGCGATCTAAACATTGTCAGTGAGGAAAGTTGATCATTGAATCGTCGGGCGAGAAACCTGTGAACTCACTCAATGACTCCATGGTTGGATAGAGGCATTCAAGTTTACCAATGGATCCGGAATCCTGGATTGGGCTCGCAACCTCATTGAATATGAGGACATTGTGTTGAAGCTGGTACGATACCATCTCTTTACCCAAAAGAACTCAGATTGTGATCTCTCTCTCTCTCTTTTTTTTTTTTTTTGGCTCATCGTTGTTCGCGAGAGAAAAATCTAATAACCTACTTTCTGTAGATCTGGGCTGGGCACTGGCCATATGCCCTAGATAGATATATTTCTACCATAAACCCAAAAAGCACGAGAGGATACCGAAAACTCATTTTATTTTCACGAGGCCTCTGTTTTGGGCTGTCTCAATAGCATTGTGGAATGGCACATGGGCAGTAAAATGGTATGGGTGGATTAATCTAAATGACGATCAATCCAAGGCCTCACATAAACAGCACCAACATTTTCTATTGATGGGCTATCGTCAAAGACTTGATCTTTGAGAAGTCAGCATTAGCGAAAATGCGCCCAAATTTTGCTTTGGTCTGACGATATCATGGAGAAATAATACAGCACGCAGTTGTTAATGTGCTTGAGATATATCTCCAAATGTATCTGTCCTGTTTGTAGGCCGCAACGTAGGATGTTTTGGTTTGGCCTATAAATTTCATGAGCGGGGTTTTCGGACTGGCATACAGCTGAATAGCATCAAAACTCACAAAACTTCTAGATTTTATCCTCGTAGAGGAAGTGGAAGCTATGAGAAATACCAAACTGTCTAAATAAAGCCGGAAAAGTTAAAAATCTTAGTAGAGTGCTATGTAAACCCTGCGCCATGTTAGGCTTCTCACTAAACATGTCCCAGATTTTTGTTCAACTGAACATCTATTATATCCTCAAGGGTCCAACTGGCTTCCTCTTGAGAGGGACACTCCGAAAACGGGGAGGTTACTGAATTTGAAGTGAGGACATAATACTTGATGAGGACTCTTCCTAGGTGCCAGACTAGGAACGGATGATCATCGGCTTGAGAGGGATTTCTGCCTCAGTATCTGGATTCCAGCAGTAAGTTGCTGCAAATTTCCATATGCATGGATTATTTCCATTTCTGAAATGGCAATTCTTTCATTTCTTTCATTTCTAGCTTTTATTCCGTTTTCCATATGACATTGGGGCAAACTACCTACTATCCAGGAGGCAGATTCATGGATGGAGTTGTAGTTGTTTATCTGCCTGCTTCTCGTAAATTTGTTTGGCATGCATGGGGCCATTCTGTTTATGCCATGTCTGACATTGCACTTTACTTTGCATAGCTCTGGCAAGTTGGGAAAAATGATACTTCATGGGAGTATTTGCTCGAGCAAGGCATGTGAGGGCAATCCATTCTCCAATCTTCTTTCTTCACCTCCACGAAGCTCTACGTCATCACATCCCTGCTCTGCCGTATAGACGATAACCTGCAATCATAGTTGCTAGTTATATAATCCCAGCGTTACCCTATATCCACTAGTTATTTCTCTCAGTTGCCTCCCGTTACCTCCTTTTAAAAATACGGCGTGTGTATCTCGCCATGGAGATCCCAACCGCAGCGCTTCAGTTCCGTGACAAACCAGCGCAGATTGGTGCGGATGGCCAGCTGGATGCCAAAGCTGAGGATGACCAGACAATTGCCCAGATGGCTCGTTCTGGTACCGACAATAATAACGACGCAAATGTAGACAAGTGTGTTGCTACGAAAAATGACGAACAGGAACCCAGTACGATTGAGGAAACAGCTGAAGCCCCAGATCCAAAGAAAAGTAAGAAGAAAAAGAGGACCAAGAAGTCGAGAGGAAAAAATAAGGTGGGTGTCGCACTCTTGCGCGTTTCGAATATGTCCATGCGATGAGTAACAATACATCTTTTGGCGACATTAGGGATCAGGATTCGAGGAGTATGCTGCCGATGGCCCTATCACTGTTGCTGAATATGAGGAAAACAAAATTCGTTATGACAGGTGAGATGCTCCTTAATCTCAGTGGTGCATTTCAAAATTGACAAACATGTTATTCTTATCAGGTCCCTTCCTGCCAAACAGTACGTCGTTATTGGCAACTAGGCTAGACTGAATTTCTTTACTCAAATTTCAAAACAGGCGCCTCGAGACAGCCATTCAACGGTTCCAGGCGAAAAGGAGCATGAACATTGACCGCAGAAACGTATTCACAAAATACATGTCATATGGAGGTGTAGACATTGGGCCGAAAATGTTTGAAGGCAACGACCAACGGGATCTCATGGACATGGACTCCGAGGACATTCTGACTGCCGCAGCGCAAGCCTCAGTCCCAGAAAATCGTGTTGGTTGGGATGTGGATTTTGAAGCTGTTGCAAAAGGCTTTCTGTACGTTCAAAGCCCAACTTTGCCTTTTTTTCCGCCTTTCGTTCACGTATTACTCTCCTGACAGGCTCCTCTCTCCCAGGTCGTCCGTCTTACCTCTGCACATCGGCTTAGAAACGGAAGCACTCGTCGACATGGCCATCGGAACAATCAGAAACTTTATAAATTACATTCTCTTACACGACGTTTGCCCTGAATTTACTGAGAATATCCTAGCCGCACGTGCGGTTTGCGACGTCGCCAAGGTAGAACTCTGGAAAGCCCAACAAGCGAACTGCTGGGCACCGGGAAATTTCAACATGGCCTGTTCAACCTTGTTTGGTGGCCACTTCTACGGTTTTCTACACCGGAGACCAGGCATGGAGCAAAGAAGCCGGTGCCGAGGGCATGGCCAGACAGCGTTGCACGCAAGGTAGTCAAATTTTGCTATTGCCGGGGTCGGGAGCTACGAGCAAGCTTGTCCGCTTCCGCAGTCTGGCTAAACGCCAATGGAATTGAAAGCTACTTGTGTGGAATGAAACTGGGTTTGAGGTTATCGCCATTACACCCGTGAACAACGACGTGCGGGGTTTCTACAAGCAATATGCTCCGGATCTCCAGCCGGTTGGCAAACTTCGAGCAAAGCCGTGGCGCAATCCTGGGTTGCCTGCGGAGGATCTACCCCCCAACCAAAATCATGGCGCATACCATTCACCTCCGTTTCCAGCTATTGATGAGTATGAATTCTTCGTAGAGCAGAGCATGCTGAAGTTCTGTTTCGCTGGGATGAAAGTTGAAACCTCCGTATGGGAATTGAACTGTGGTTTTCAATACTTTGATAATGTGATGGCCGTTTACTGCTCCTTTTACACCATATTGCTGAATGAGAATATGATTGGGTGGAAGGAGCCGAGGGACCTGAGAAGTGATGCTATCGTGCCGCATAATTCAGAAGCAGAAACACAGGTTGGTGGTGGAGATGAGGGCCCGGTAAGGTCTGAGGAAGATGACTAGTGAGTGAGCTTGCTTTTTCATACCAACATCCCACGCGAATGCAGTCAATATACTCCAGGCACTTAGGAGTAAATAAATTATACCTAAAACTACAATATTTAGGAAGAGAGACGGAATATACCCGCGTTTGAAATCAATCGAACAACTCGTATTTCTCAGCTGTCACATCAAGGTAGCGAAATTTTCCAGCGTGCGCTGTAAAGAAAAGGGTGACTTTCATTAATTGCATATGCAGACATATAGTCTCTTGTTCTGAGAAACAGATTGAACGCCAGAGAGCCCAACTTTCTCAGAAGCGCAATACCCCCAACAACAAATTCCAATGCAGTAGTAATCTCATGGCTTGAGGAGGAGCTTCCCAGTAGTCTGTCTACTCTCGAGGTCCTATTATTTTAACACTCAGTCAAAGATCCCATAAAACATAGAGGGAATGATGTAACGAAATTCTGCTTTTGTGGGACTTACGATGTGAGCCTGCGCAATTTCTTCCAAGGGATAGACCTTGTGGATCCTAACTTTCAGTTGGCCAGCCTTCAGTAGGCCAAACAGCTCTTCGGTGTAATGGTCAAATTCAACTTGCGTGTGGATATATGGGAAAACTGTAGGCCGGAGCACTTTGATGTTCTTCGACGACAGAAGCCTATATCGCCTCTCAGCATTCACATTATCACACAAAAAACGGGGTGTCAGACATCAGACAAAGGAGCACTCACCGGATCTGCAATGGCGGTACGGGCCCGCTGGAATTTCCGAAATAAACCACTGTCCCTTTCCTCTTACAAACATTCAAACTTCCCTCCCATGTATCCTTCCCTACAGAATCGAATACAGCATCCACCCCCTCTCCGCCAGTCACATCCATCACCTTCTCCTCCCAATTTGCGCCCTCCGCACTCCTATAATCAATAACCACGTCCGCCCCAAGACCCTTCACTAACTCCACCTTCGCCGGAGACCCAGCCGTCGCAATTACTTTCGCACCAGTCATCTTGACCAACTGCGTCATCAGAAACCCCGCCCCACCCGCCGCAGCGTGGATCAGAATCCAATCCCCCTGCTTAACCGGATACGCTTCTCGGACGAATGTGAGCGTCGTAAGCCCACTTAGGAATCCCGCGACGGCATCCTCATCTGATAAACCTGCAGGGACGCGCGCCACGTTTGCCTCAGCGGGGACGGCCGTGTACTCCGCATAGCCGCCAGTATTCATCCATGCCACGCGCTCACCGACAGTGAAATTTTTCGGGTTAGCGCCAGGGCCGACGGCAACGATGGTGCCAACTGCTTCGCGGCCTAGAATCTCTGGTTTGGGAGCTGTGTAAAGACCTGTGCGGAAATAGGTGTCGATGTAGTTCACGCCCGAGAGGTTGTTTTTTATAAGTACCTCCCCTTCCTTTGGGGTGGGGACGGGAAGGTCTGTTCTGTATTCGAGAACCTCGGGCCCTCCATGTTTGGAAACAAGAACGCCCTTTTGCGTTGCTGGTATGGATAGTGCTGCGGTAGCCATGGTGCGGAGTTGATTTTGGGAGAACAATGGCAGCTGCTGGTGAGTTGGCGGAAAGCTGGGTTGGAATTGTTGTTGAAGCAGGAGGCACACTGTGGCTCGAGAATGGCGAGATGTTCTCAACGGTGTCGTCAATGCGGAGAGCTGTGCAATTGTCGCTACTCTTCGCATTTAGCTGACTGTTCCTTCAGAGACCACGCAATATACTTGATGCAGCTTGATGTTTAATAACACCACTCTGCTTCAGAGAACACTTTATGTAGAGCTTTCTTCCCACATAGGCTCAATTGATTGAACAAAACATATATGTTATTCATTCTGATAACCACCAAGCCATTATATGAAACAAACCTTCCGGTCTCATTTAATTCTCTTCTGTTTTCAATTTGTTCTTTCGACCTTGCGGGGAAATATGACGGAATTGATGGATAGCCGGCTTAGTCATTAAATAGCTAAACCACCTCGGTGGAGTTGCTCTCTTCGATCTTGATGGTCCTTTTATCACAAGCACTCCTAAGTGCAAAGTCGATATTTACTACCGGAAATGTGAGTTAGTGTGATTCTAGATATGTTCAAAACTTGGTTCAATCCCAATATTACCTGTATTCTTCGCCAGGTTGGCATCCCCTGGCCGCTGTTTCAGGAGATGAGTCAAGTTGAAGAACTCGACCTCAGTCTTGTGCTCTCACAGCTTGTTATGTCTAGCTCCTTCTCCCTTCTGAGCAGACGAGGGATGTTTAGTGTGGATGTACAGTACATCATGTCCAGCGGTCATCTCCTGTTATTGATTTCTTTCTCAACTTGATCGACTTGGCACCTCAATAATCAAAGCCTTCCAGAGAGCTTTCTGCCCTCTCACTTCTCCTATCATTTCTCGTTTTCAGTGTTTGCACAACTCGCAGCTGTATAGTTTGCCTGTCGCTATTGAGAAGGATAAACTCTTTTCAGCAATATGCGGTACGGCCGGGGAATGTACTCCATAGTCTCTTCTCCCTCAATTTTTCCCTCCAATTTTGATACTATACTCTGCTGCACAATCAAAATATACCATTAAACCCGACCAATCGTCTTACATAAACCGGCTGGTTACAGTCGCTTGTTCTCTCTTTTTATTTTCCCAATGGATTCCGAAAAACTATCGTTTGTGAGACAGATATCAAAACACCCTCCACCGGAATCAATGGGCTTGGTCCTGGGGCTCATGAATGCTAACAGTGCATTCAACATTTTCTGATAGGAGAAGTGATATGGAGCGATTTGTAGTGTTGTTGTTGTTGTTCTTCTTATTTTTTCTAAAGGCATATGCAGTCTGAGACTATGACAGCCTTCACC